ATATTCACATCTTTGCCCAGAGAAGCTGTGGCTGCCCTTGAATCCCTGCAAGTGTCCAAGGCCAGGTTGGAGCAACCTGGGCTGGTGGAAGTTGTCCCTGCCCATGGCAGGGGGTGGCACTGAGTGGGCTTTAAGGTTCCCACCCAGACTTTTCCATGATTCCATGAAATGCCAACCTGCTCCTGACACCCTGTGTTCAGGTTGGAAGCTCCTCAGCCCTCTCCTGTGTGTGCCAAGAAAGAGAAGGAGTCTAAACTTGGCTCAGGGCCCATCAGGAATGGGAAGCATCTCTTGGAATCTCCATGATGTGCCCCCGAGGTCTCACAGAGCTCTGCTGTCACCCCAGCACAGCTCCCACCTCCCAGCCACATCCAGTGGCCAGGGGGTCACACGGGCACGGGCAAGCCAAGGGCTCACACCCCATCCCAGAGTGAAACGAGGGAAGTCATTCCTATATCCAGAAGAAGTCCTGTACAAATTCCTTATTGCTCAGGGATGGCTCTGCAGTATGTCAGTCTGCAACTCTGCAAACATCCCTTGTTCCTCATCAGCTTCTCCCCTTCAGCAATACAAAGCAAAATGGCTGCAGTTAAAACGTTCCCTTTGCAGCTTTTCCTAAGGGAACCATCCTTGGATACAACACCTCGAGCCAGAGGCATTACATCCTTTGAGCTAAACCCTCTTGGAGCAAAAACGCTCCTCGTGTGGATCCATCAGAGCCAGGATTGCTGTGGAAAACTGCTCCCTGCACAGGGCAAACAGGAGGGACACAACCAGTGAGCAAATCAGTCACACTCATGCTCCTGCCTGCAGGGAATGGCTTCCCAGAATCGCTCCCGGAGGCAGATTCATCAAACCCCAGCACCCTCAGAGTTGCTGACATGAAGGTGTTCAGTGCTGTCTAAGCCATGAAAAACCCCTGTGGGATCCAACCTGGAGCTCCAGGAGCCCCCTGCCCTCCTGACACAGCTCAGAGGTGCCCATGCTCAGCCTCCTTCCCTCAGGAACATTTCTCTCCAGTTCCTGAAGTTTATTCTCCTCTTAACTCTCTCTCATCTTTCTGCACTCGGACAAATGCCCAGCACGGCTCTGGTCTCATGTCATCCCTATTTTTACAGTCTCCTCATTAACTCTGCACTGCTTTTGGCTTCCCAGGTCACTGCCAGCAGAGTCCCACTCCTCAAACCAACCCCCCTCCTCTCCCTCACTCCTGAATTTCATTACTGTAATATTTTACTTAGACTGCACCATAAACCAAATGTTCAAATTAAATGGGAATTAAATGCAAATTGCATGCCCAGAAGTGCTTTGTCTTTACTAAAAGACAACCCTGACCCCTCTATAATCTTCATTCAAGCATGTGTTTTAACAACTGCACGTGGCCCTCAGTGCTCTGGTCTGGGTGACAAGGTGGGGATGGGTCAAAGGTTGGACCCTCTGATCTTGGAGAGCTTTTCCAACCTTAACAATTCCATTATTCTAAGGGATTTAACTTCCTTTGCCCATGGCACTGAGTCTTGTGGCCAGAGAATAAGACAATATTTCATCATTTTACAGACAATTTCAACAGCTACATCCTCATTCCCTAACGTGTTTCTTGGGGAAAACTCCACAAATGTTAAACTGACAGAATGAGGGAAGGAGAGGGATAATTCCCTGATTTCTGCGGGGCCACTCCCTGCTCTCCTAAATGAGCAAAAGAATAAAAATGGACATCTACAGGATCTGTGGGAAACAGGAAAGCAGGACAACACCAAGAGCACCTCTGGAGACAGGAACAAACCTGCAGCTGGATCAGTTGAGAGAGAATATCCCAGAAGGAACTTGGAATGGGGGAAATTCCATAAGCACAAAGCCCCTACATTTGAATAAAATGAAATCACGGAATATGCTGAGTTGGAAGGGACCCACAAGGATCATGGAGTGAAAGAGGATGGAGAACCTTTAGCTGGTCCCACTGCCAGGAATTGTGGGGAGAGGGTTTAAACAGACCAGGAAGAAGAGGGAAATATTCCATCAAGGATTCTTAACTGGGTCACTGGAGGGAATCACTCGGCCCTGGGCAGCCCTGGTGGGGTCTGCAGAGCACAGTCCAGTCACGACACAGCTCCTGCAAAAATCCAAACTCCCTGGGAAGTGCCAAGGAGAGGAAGGGTGATGGATTTACAGTGGGATCTCTGAGGCAACACTGGGAAAGCAACACAGCAGAAGGTTGAAGGGAAACACTCCCAACATGTCACACAAAAGAAGGGTCAGTGGCTCTTCTCCCTGGCTTGGGGGTTGAGGGGAACTGGGAAAAGATTCAGTCCAGATTGAGAGGCAATCACAGCAAGAAGCTTCCAACTAAAAGGCAATAAAATGGGGAACAGCCACCTCAGGACAATGTCACTGCTCTTCCTGACAGGATTTACTGTCACTTCAGGGCCTCACCAAGGTCTCAGCCCCAGCAGCAGCTCCCTCAGAGCACAGTTCCTGTCAGTGCTTCCACCACTGCCATGGCCTGGAGCTCAGACGAGTTATGGAGGCAGAAAAACTGGGAAATCATGGTTGCTGTTGGTCCCAGCTGCCCCTGGAATCTCCCTGATCATCCTGGGGCAGAGCTTCCACTTGATCTCGTTTTCCTCACCGAGCCTAGGAGTTGGGATCCATCACCAGTGGTGTCCCCAGGGATCAGTGCTGGGCCCAGTCCTGTTTAATGTCTTTGTTGATGATCTGGATGAGGGGATGGAGTCCATCATCAGCAAATGTGCAGATGACACCGAGCTGGGGGGAGTGTCCATCAGCTGGAGGGCAGGAGGGCTCTGCAGAGGGACCTGCACAGGCTGGATCCATGGGCTGATTCCAAGGGGATGAGGTTCAAGCAGGCCAAGGGCCGGGTCCTGCCCTTTGGCCACAACAACCCCCGGCAGCTCCAGGCTGGGCCAGAGGGGCTGGAGAGCAGCCAGGCAGGAAGGGAGCTGGGAGTGGGGATGGACAGGGAGCTGAACAGGAGCCAGAGTGTGCCCAGGGGGACAAGAGGGCCAAGGGATCCTGGCCTGGCTCAGCAACAGGGTGGCCAACAGGGCCAGGGAAGTGATTCCTGCCCTGGACTCAGCGCTGGGGAGGCCACCCCTGGAGTGCTGTGTCCAGTTCTGGGCCCTCAGCTCAGGAAGGACATGGAGGGGCTGGAGCAGGGCCAGAGGAGAGCAACGAGGCTGGGGAAGGGACTGGAGCACAAGTGCTGGGAGGAGAGGCTGAGGGAGCTGGGGGGGCTCAGCCTGGAGAAGAGGAGGCTCAGGGGAGACCTCCTCACTCTCTGCAACTCCCTGACAGGAGGGGGGAGCCGGGGGGGTTGGTCTCTTTTCCCAGGCAACTCTCAGCAAGACAAGAGGGCTGGGTCTTCAGCTGGGCCAGGGGAGGGGGAGGTTGGAGATCAGGAAGAATTTCTTTGCAGAGAGGGTGCTCAGCCATTGGAATGGGCTGCCCAGGGAAGGGGTGGATTCTCCGTCCCTGGAGGTGTTTAAGGACAGACTGGATGTGGCATCAGTGCCATGGGCTGGGAACCACGGCGGGGTTGGATCAAGGGTTGGACTGGATGATCTCGGAGGTCCCTTCCAACCCAGATGATTCTGTGATTCTGTGATTCTATGGACATCATGGATCACCTGCTCCTGATCATGGATCTCCACATTTAGGATCACACATCTTGTCACTGAGGTGACAAGACTTTTTCCCACAGGGAAAAAAAAGCAGGTTGACAGGAAGGCAGGGAGAGGTTTTTGCTTTGCTTTGAAACCTTAAATCAAAATCTCAACGGGCAAAATGTCAACGAAAATTGACAAAACTGAAAAATGAGAATTTCCGAGAAAAACTGTGAGAAATGAAGTTCTGAACTGAGACTCCAAGGAGGGATTTGTTTGGTTTTAGCTGCTCTAATTGTACATAGATGGGAAACATCTTTCCTGAGCTCAGGTACACGGAAAACCAACACCCCAGCACAGCCTTTGCAATGGGAATCCATTATTTAAAAAAACCCCATCCATTATTTAAAAAAAACTAACGGTGAAATGTTAAACTTTTATGAGGTTTTGTTTTCTTTGCTCTTCTGAAAACGATACATTAAAATTATACTCCACTGGTGTTATTGATTTCCATCCTGCCTATGCAGGAGACACAAAATAAATGAGCTGCACATTAAGTCAGTGCAGGCTGGGAGGTTAATTGTTTGTGTGGCTTGTGAAATAGAATCTCTGATTGTTCTCCAATACTGTTTTAAAAAAAACAAAACACCACCAAAAAAAAAAAAAAAGGCAGCCAAATGCTTCCAGTGATTTGGAAGCTGATACCTATTATTTCAAATAAAATGACGATAAAGCAACGTAGAGCACATTCCTCTGCATCTGCACTGGGGTTTCTTGCAGCAGGGACAGGGATGTCACTCCTGAAGCCACAACCACAGCGTGAACTCATCCTTAGCCCGAGGCTCAACTCCCAGAGGGGGATTTTTTTCTAAGTGAAAACTCCAAAGTTCACTTGGTCACTTCATTTTCCTGCCAAAACCCCTCCCTTTCCCAGCCACTCGGCTCCTGCTCACACCTCACATCCACAACAGTTTGGGAAGCTCATTTTTTAAATGGAGTTTTTTAAAACCAATCCAGTGTCTTGTGAGGGCTGAATCAATTCACAGCTGGGTGGTTTGGATGGGTAAATCAAGCCAGGATTAATTCCAGCACTAAATCCCTTCAGGAAGGACCATGGAGTGCTCAGATAAATCTGTAAAACATCTTTTAGGGCAGAGAAGTTTCATACAGGGTGAGAAATGAGCTGCTCTGCACCTTTCCCTTCCTTTTCCATGTTAAATCCACACCACAGCCACTTGGACAACACGGGCTGATCCAAACTGGTTTGAACATCTCAGGATCAGCCCCAAAAAACCCTTCACAGAATATCAGCCAAGCCCCAAGTACCAGGACTCATATTCCATTAAAGTGAGGAAAAAACTGCCTCCCATTTCTGGCCTAAGGCTCCAAAATTGAGATGTACCATCAGCTTTGGGAAAAGGGACACAGTGACCTTCCAAGGAGCAGGGAAAAAAAAAAAGGGATCCTAATCTAAATAAGAAAGAAAGGTTGTAGCTACAGTGTTTTAAGTGTGAGAGGGACCAGCACATAAATCCACCTGAGCAGGGGAAGGCAATTAGAGTGATGGATTGCAGCCAAGCCCAGGGAGATGGGAATGTGGAGACGACGCTCAAATACAAATTATTACACGAAATTACCCTCAGCCCACTCCAACTCCTCAGAAAAATCAGTCTCTCACGTCCCCAGTGTGTTGGGGCCAAATGCCAGGGAGGCTTTTTCCATCCTGTCCCTGTGTCCCAGCTCAAACCCACCTGTGGGAGCAGCTGGGAGCTCCAGGGGTTTATTTTCCACCAGCAAGGACTCTGCAGCATTGCTGAGGGGGAAAAGGAGGGAATCAGCACTTGTTCCTACGGATTCCTGGGATTTTGTGCCACGATAAAACACCGAAACTCTGTTTACACCCCGGGGAACTCATTCAGCCCTTGCAGTCCTAAAACCCAGCCTTGAGAAGTCTCCTCAGAACATCCATAGAATCAGCTGGGTTGGAATCCCACTTTTCCCAGTGAGGTCACTGGGTGTTCCCCTCAGGATACAGCAATATTTTACATTTATCCAGTTTTTTTCCAGCTGAATATCCCAACAAAGCAAACCATCAGGTGGTTACTGCACAACACCCAGGTTTTCCTCCGGAATATCAAGGAGTGGGAAGGCGGCTCCCACTTGCAGCCACTGGACAACATTCCCAGGGAATTCCCTATAATCCAGGATGTACAATCACGTGTGATGCTCAACCAAAAATCACCCAAACATGCAAACCATGGAACAGCAGCTCCTTGAAAGCCAGAGCAAAGTGTGGGAGTGCTTGGCACGTGCCGGAATCACAAACCCCCTTTGCCAGCTGGCTGTTTGCTTTATGCAGGAAGGAGTATTTGGTAAACAAAAAGAGATGTTTATTTGACAACTGGAACGTTGGTAAAAGATGTCTCTCGTGAAGATTCAAAATGCCAATAAATTGCTTCCAGGACAGAAGGGGGGATAGGACAGACTTATTTAGTCTTTCCTGAGGTGACAAAGAGCTGGAAGTTCCAGGACAAAGAGTAGGAGACCCAGAGGGATGAGGACCCCGTGTCCTCTTCTCCAGCCCAAGGAAGTGCTTGTCCCTCTCTGCAGCTCCAGCACAGGCACCAGGAGCAACAGGGAACCCCCTGGAAGTGTCCCAGGCCAGGCTGGATGGGGTTTGCAGCAACCTGGGACAGTGGAGGTGTCCCTGCCCAGGGCAGGGGGTGGCACTGGGTGGGCTTTACGGTCCCTTCCCACCCAAACCAGTCTGGGATCCTGGGACTGAGGAGCAGCCCCCTTCCTTCCACGGGATAATCCACTCTCCCCTCACAGCTCTGACCCCAAAACCCTTCCCTGCTGTTTGGGGATCCCCAAAGACAAACCAGCAGTTGGGAATAAAGCAGGAGCCCCAGCAGAGGCCAAGCTGGGCACAAGGTGCCTCCCTCACCTCCCTCCTGCTCATACTACAGCAAATTTACCTGCCTGTAGAGCTCAGGTGGCTTTATGTCACAAATTCTTGCTTTTTATGCCCACCCTACAGGTTACATCACACACTCCCAGCTTTGGGGGGAATTTTACCACTTTTACTGCACACACCGTTGTGAAAACATGTCTAGTGTAATTTCTGCCCCTTCAGCACGAAATCAAATTCAGTGTTTCGAGCAGGATTTCCCCATTTTTATGCTTTACAACCAAAGCTCCCAGTTTTATACCCTAAAAACAAAAACCCTCAAGGGCAAGCTGGGCACGAGGTGCCTCCCTCACCCCCCCTCCCTGTTCCCCAGAGCTGCCCAGCTCAGGGCTGTCACCCCCCCACAGGATCCCAATCCAGGACACCCTTCCTTGGGAATGTGGTGGTAGGAACCACCACAGCAAAGCTGCTTCCACAGCCCTGTTCCCATCCAGGCCCTCCCATCCTCTTCCCTTTCTCCCCTTGCACTTTCCCACCAGAGCAGAGCCCACCCCTGGCAGCTGCAGCCTTGTGAATCCCGCCCACCCTCCCTGCTGCTGTGATTCCAGAGGAGTGGGACATTCTGCCAACACCACAATGAAAGGGAGCTGAAAATAGATCCCGGTAATAACTCCAGCACCAATTTTCCGACAGCAGCTCGGGAGCTCTCTCAATGTGAAGTGTTCCCAGGTGGATCTGCCAGGGAACAGGCAGTGCTGTTCTCTCAGCACCAGCACAGGGGGAAGTTTTGCCATTTTTAACACAGTTCCCACCTGCATTCTCTATGACAGGATGAGCCACTGCAGCCACCCAGGGATTGGGAACCTGCTCCCGAGGGAAAGGAGGGAATGGGGGGGCACTGCCCAGGCTCCCCAGGGCAGTGGGCACGGCCCCAAGGCTGCCAGAGCTCCAGGAGGGTTTGGATGATCCTCTGGGGCACAGGGGGGGATTGTTGGGGTGTCTGGGCAGGGCCAGGGCTTGGACTGGATGGCCCTTGGGGGTCCCTCCCAGCTCAGGATATCCCACTTTACAATTCCATAAAACAAGACCTCTCTTCACCCTCAGTAGTTTTCCCCTCTTTCCCCTTCAGTTTTCAGTAACAAATTTCACTTTATACCTCAAACAACATTCAACAAACGACACTAAAACCTCACTCATTTTTCTCATATTAAAACGTAAAGAACTGTCATTTAAATAATTAAACTACATCTAAATAGGGTGACTCAGAAGGGTGATTTCATATTGGAGCATTTTGTCCTTTTCCCAAATTCTTGCCCGTTTCATTCCTTTAGACTAAAAAAAAAATATAGTCCCATGGAATATTTTCTTAGCCCAACGTAATTCCAAGGAGCATTTCCAAAAGAATTCCTTCTGCAAGAATAAGAAAAATCTTAGAGGAGCACTTTTAAAAATTCACTTCTAAAAATTCATACTCCATAACTCCCCATAATGGATGTAACTCCCTCTTCAGATTCAGGATAATTTTTATTTGTTGGTAGGTCCTGTGTGGGATAATAAAACTTCCAATAGAACCCCGTTATTGTCAACCACAGAGAGCAAATGAGGGATTTATTCAACCTCTGCAATGCTTGGTGTGCTGTTAAATAATGAATTTGGAGAGACCAGGATGTGCTGCTGGAAAAGCAGGATGAATATATTTGATTAAGGGGGTAAATACCTCCCAAGGAGTTAAAAATATTTGGTTCCAGGGGGTTTTACAAGAGGAGGGAACAGAAATAAAAGTTTTTAAGAACGTGAGACCAGAGAAATTCATCCCAGGGAAAGCATCACTGTCTCTAAGGGTGTTACTAAAACAGCCCAGCCTTCACACCAAAATAAAGGAATATAATTAAATTTCTGGAATAAGGAGTTACTTTTTGGGGGAAAAGCCAGTGGATTTTATGCTCTCTACCTTCTCCAAAAAAACCAAGCTACTGGTGTGCCCAGGGCTTGGACAGGAAGTGTCACAACAGGACATTTTTCAGAAGTCATTTAGAGGGTTTAACTGGCCCCTCTGACCTCACCCCTCATTTGTTTCCCAGCCTGTAGGACAGAGGTGGCTCAGCAAAAATTCGGGGAGCCCAGGACAGCAAAGGAGGGATATCCAGGAGAACAAAACCCACCTAAAACACGGGAAAGGATTTTGAACCGTCCAAATGAAACCCACGCTCTGCCAACGGATGAGCCTGGAATGGTTCGAGTCAAACTTGGCAGGAAAAGTTTTACAGTAAATCAAAATATTCCTGAGCTTTAACCAGGCCCCACTGCAGAGACAAAGCTCTGAAAATGAACTATTACTACTAATAATGCTGTGCTTGTTATTGGTTTCTTTTAGATGTTGTATTTGAGATTAGAGCATCTCCAAACAAAATTGAAGTTGGCTTCGTAATGATTTATTACACACGAGTCAATAATAACAGAAAGGCTGTGCTTTGAAAGCCCTGAAATAGAGATTTTATGTTCTTTCGAGTCAAGGAATTAGATTAAATCTATCCAGAACATTAAAAAGAATTTGCAGTAGACAGGAAAAAAAAAAATAAAAATTGAGATGCAGAACTTGAGCTGTGTCCAAATGTCCAGGACCATAAACAGGCAGGATTTCACCCAGGAGATTCTAATGAGGCAGCAATTAACCCACCAGGATAATCAGAGAGCAAATGGGCACAGGGAAAGCCATTTCCAGGCCGGGTAATTACAGGGAGGATATTTGATAATGCACCTCCAGAATCTCCCTCTCTCTCTCGGGGAGGATTATTTTC